TCCCCTGCCCACGGAGGAGTACGAGTACGAGTACTACTACGACGACGACGACGGCGAGGGCCCGGCGGAGGGGGCCGCCAAGGACGACTTCTTCGCCAACCACGACTACGAGTACGTGGACACCGCCGACCCGTCGTACACGCCGCCGCCGCCGCCGCCCGCGGAGGGGGGGGAGGCGGCGGGGAGAAGACGGCGGAGCGGCGCACGCTGGACCTGCTGTACCACTGGTTCCTGAGCGACCCCAAGAAGCCGTCGCGGCCGTCGCTGATCGAGGAGGTCTTCCGCACCATCGACAACCACATCATCGAGGACCTGCGCGAGTGGAACGCCAACGCCTTCCCGCACCTGCCCAAGACGCCCGGCCACGGCGCCGCCCACGACCACGGAGCCCGCGCCACCAAGGGCGCGCCCGCCGCCCAGGAGGACACGCTGCTGGTGACCGATGAGCAAGGCGCGAACACGTGGTCACCATCGACGACATCGTGACGTCGCTCGGGCACCTGGACGAGCAGACGCTGACGGAGCTCCTGCTGGGCCGCCCGCGCCCGCCGACAAGAGGTCCTCCGTGGCGCTGCCGTCGCCGCCCGCGCTGCCCCAGGGCACCAGCCTCGTGCCGGTGCTCGTGCCCAAGCCCATGCCGGCCTTCGTCCTGCAGGAGAAGCAGCAGCAGCCCGTCCTCCTGCGCGCCCTGGCGGCCTCGCCGGGGAGCTGGCGCGCCCGGTGCGCCACACCGGCCCCGCCAAGGGCGCCCCCGCGGGCCCGCCGAAGGCCGCGGCGGCGCTGCTTGCAGAGCAGGGCGACGACGTGTTCGTGGTGCAGGATGAGCAGGGCGGCGTGCAGGTGGTGACGCTGCAGGACATCCTGGCGTCGCTCTCCGCCCTCGACTCCGGCAGCGTGAACCAGCTGCTCTTCGGCGAGGGCCTCGGCGTGGCGCCTCAGCTGCCCCTGCCCTCGGCCGCCGGCCACGACGCGGCGGCCGCGGCGGCCGTGCCTCCTGCCGCGGCTCACCCCAACGCCGCCAGCAAGAAGGTCACTCCTAGCGCTGCGCCGTCCCCCCCTCCCACCCCCGCCCCCGCCCCCACGCCCAAGCCCACGCCCCCTCCCGCGGCGCCCTCCGTCAGCACCGACTTCGACGGCAACCTGCACGTGCGGGCGCGGCCGGGCTCCGTGGCCGTCGACCTGCGGAGCCACGACTGGGCGGCGCGGGCGGCCGGCCAGCGGCAGGCGCCCGCGGAGGGCGGCCCGAGGGCGGGCACGTGCGGCGCGACGGCAACGGCGACATCCACATCAGCCCGGCCCCCGGACGCCCCTTCGCCCTCGACGTGCACAGCATCATCGCCCTCGCCGAGCAGGCCGAGCAGGAGGCGCAGGCGGCGCGGGCCGGCGCCGGGAAGAGCGTCCCCAGCAAGAGCACCCGCAACCGCCTGGCGGGCAGCCCGGCCAAGGGCGGCGAGGAGCTGCCCAGCCGCGGCCAGGAGCTCCTGTCCTTCCTGGCGGGCGTGGACGCCCTCCCCACCGCCATCCCGGCCAGCCCCCCTCCCACCCCCGCCCCCGCCCCCACGGTCGCGCCCGCCCTCAGCCACCAACTCCTCCTGCAGGCCCTGGGGCGCCCCCAGCCCACGACGCCCGCCCCCGCCCCACCCCGAGCCCCCCCGCCTCCGGGGGCCTTGGCGCCACGCTCACCAGCTTCCTGTCGCGGCTGGTGGGCGGCAGCACGGAGCAGCCGGCGGCTCCGCAGGTGGCGGCGGCGGCACCTAAGCCCGCGGCGCCCCTCACGCCCCAGCAGGAGTACATCCAGCTGGTCCTGCGGCAGCAGAAGCGCCACGCCGCGGAGAACGTGTTCGGCGACGTGGTGATCCCTCTGCCGAAACCCATCCACCACCGCGCGCCGCCCGCCGGCCGCCGCGGCGCCCGTGAAGCGCGAGGCGGTGCCCAGCGGCGCCCAGGCGAAGGCGGCGGCGGAGGAGGAGGAGGAGGAGGGCCGGCGCCGCTGCTGGCCGGCCTGTCCCCGCGCGTCCTCGACACGCTGCGCCACCAGCTGCAGGACGTGCCGCACTTCGTGCCGCCCGCCCTCCGCCGTGCCGCAGCCCCCTCGCCGCAGCCCGTCGCGGACGCCAGGGCGGACGACGTCCCCGAGAATGAGGTCCAGAGGCTGGCGACGTCGCCCTTGGAGTCGCTCGCCTCGTACGCCTCCTCCTTCGTCCCCTCCCCCACCCCCCGCCCCCTCCTCCCCCTCCTCTGTCCCGCAGCTGCTCTCCAAACTCCCCTCAGAATCCCTGCGGAAGCTTCTCCTGCAGGCGCTGCAGAAGAAGAGCACCGCCTCCGCCCCCGACCCGCCGGCCGTCCGCGCCCCCCGCATTCCCGACAAACCCCAGGACCGCAGCTCGTACGCCGAACTGCCCGACTACAGCAGCCTCGGCGGGGGCTACGGGGGCGGCGAGGGCTACGGGGGCGGCGACGAGAACCCGCTCTTCGACGTGTACTTCCTGGCCGACGCCAC